CTCTCAGGAACTGATGTTTATAAAGGATTTAATTTCCAGGAAAAACACAGTAAGAGCTGAATAAAAACCAAGCGGCAACCTCCCGGTCTCTCTCGTGAAGCCAGCACGGAAGTGACTTAAACTGTAATTCATCAACTGGCTGCTAGAGACTGGCTGCAAAAGGGAGTCAATCCCATAGACCCCCCATGTTAAAATGGCCAACTTTACAGCAGAAAAAAACATGTTTACAGCCTGGTTCAAAAAGTGGTTTTGGTCTATAATAAAAAGAATGTTTTCACCCATTAAGAATAGTTAAAGGTCCAATAAGAACTAGAATTTTTTTTGTTCTTGTTTCATTTTCCCAGCTTTTCTCTAGGACCTTTTTACTGGGGATTCTCTGTGTGTCCCTTAAGTATGCTCCAGTATGTTATTTTTTATTTTAACCTCCTAACTTCCAGAGGCATTTCTGCCATTTCTACCTGTAATGCTGGAATAGAGGATGTTCTGAATGCCCCACAACTTATTCTTAAAGCTTGTGACTGAATAACATTTATTATTTATTTATTAACATTTATTTTCCTTAAAGTGGATGCAACCATAATCTATTACCTATTCTATACAGAGATTGATTTAATGAACAACGTCCGACACGGACTCTGGAGATTAATACATCCTCTTTCCCGTTTCCAAACCTTCTTCTTTCTGGACCAGCTTTTTCTTGTATGCAATGCAAATGCCTACCTTTTATTCCACTATCCCTTTTACTTCTTTTTACTCAATGCCACTTTAACTTAAATTTGTGTATGTTTCAAAGCCAGTTTTATTCTTTAAGAGAATCTTTAAAAATGTGTTCTGAGTTGCCTGTAGGTGGCCCATTACACGATATGATGAGGAATTTACATTATGGCCAAAGGGCAAAGCCATTAATGAAAACGCCACAATGCTGCAGAGTCTAATCTGTGTGTAACTCATCATTTATTACAGTTACTACTTTTCATCCTTCCCTGTTTGAAACTGGTAACATTACCACCCCCAGAATGTCATATTTTAAAATGTAGAGACCTTCTTGTGTCAAGGGAAATCGGGTCTGTAGCATTCCCAGCTAAACAGACGCACTTTACTCTCAGGAACTGATGTTTATAAAGGATTTAATTTCCAGGAAAAACACAGTAAGAGCTGAATAAAAACCAAGCGGCAACCTCCCGGTCTCTCTCGTGAAGCCAGCACGGAAGTGACTTAAACTGTAATTCATCAACTGGCTGCTAGAGACTGGCTGCAAAAGGGAGTCAATCCCATAGACCCCCCATGTTAAAATGGCCAACTTTACAGCAGAAAAAAACATGTTTACAGCCTGGTTCAAAAAGTGGTTTTGGTCTATATAGCTAATTTTGCCCTTCATGACAACTGTGAGGGGCGTGAATTTTTTTATAACTCATCCGTTTAAATTATATTAAGCCTTAAAGTTCTGCATAATTAAGGGGGTGGTCACTTGAGTGACAGGTGGATTGCCCGCTGCTGACACTGCCGTCGAGCTAGGTGGGCGTGGCTTCAGCAACCAGCTCCCGCCCTTTTGCCCATTTTCGATTATCCGGGAGTGACGCGCAGTGTGACGCGCTGCCAAGATGGCGACGGCCTGCTCCGCCCACTTTGAGCTTCAAAAAGGCTCTTCAGGAACCTACGGGTGCCGTCACGGACACTACGTCCATGTTTTTATACAGTCTATGATAAAAACAAACAAAGTTAGACATCTTCCTGCAAATTATAAATAAATGTCCAAAACAAATCTATAAACTAGATACACAGTTGCAATCTGATCTACATCATAAATAGTGCGACAATAAATCACATTTTTAGTATACAGGCTAATATAATAACCTTGCCTTACTGTACTGTAGTAATCCTGAATAATATGAATTATTTTAACACTGACAGTAACAATATTTAATGCAAATAAAGCACCAACGAAAAAACGAGTTTTAAACAACTGACAAACTTCTTCAAAAAAGTGCTAACTATATGACCTATTTGATTTTATAAATCACACCAATCGCCTTTTGGAGTGCAATGAGAACTAAATGAAACACCTGAGTTAACAATGAATTAATTTTGGTACAGCTGATGATATCAAATTAGAGAGAAAAACATAAAACATAAAATGACCAAATAAAGACCTGATTTGTATCTGGTGTGCAAACCAAGAAAAACAATAACATTGACGAGGCAATAATACACTGTGTTCTGCTTAAGACAGTAACAATGAATCACTCTCTCTGAATAACAACATTAGCCAAATGAAATGGTCATCACTGATATTCGAAACTTGCCTATATGCTAATGACCCGCTAAACGTTAGTTAATAGCTTCAGAGGAGATCGCTAAAATAAACACTTCAAAGTCTTTCAAAGTTTACAAAACAGCACAAAATTAAAATGGTACCTTGTGCCCTTCATCAGCAGAGATAGGGAGAAACCTTTAAAGCGTATATTTGTAGAGCGTGTACCCAAAAGTTAAGGGGGTCATATGATGCGATTTCAATTTTTCCTTTCTCTTTGGAGTGTTACAAGCTCTTGGTGCATAAAGAAGATCTGTAAAGTTGCAAAGTCTAAAGTCTCAAATCCAAAGAGATATTCTTTATAAAAGTTAAGAGTCAACCACGCCTACCTAAAACGGATCGTTCTAACACGCCCCCACATATCTACCTCACTATGTGGGAAGATTTGCATAACGCCGCACAAATGTTCACGCAAAGAAAGAAGGTGTAACTTTTATTCTCGCTGTAGTATTGTTGCCGCCGCCGCCGCTGCCATGTCGTGAAGGTGCTGTGTGCTTCGTTGTGAAAGCGAAACTACTTTGTTTGGTCTTCCAAAAGTGGACGATATCTGCTTCGTCATGACTAGAGCTGATCCGTGCTGGTCGTTGAGGAAATACATCAACGTTGTGCTGTGGATCGCCGGATCGGATTTCACCGTGGACGAAGCGGAGTCCAACCCGGGGTCGTCACATGTGGTTGCTGCAAGCCCGCCGGACGCTCCTTCGTCGAATCTGCCGCCTCTGCTCACTCTAGCCCTCCGGCCGTTCCTCACTCTAGGCCGCGGTGTGTGACGCTGTGTTTCGTTGTGAAAGCGAAACTACTTTGTTTGTTGATTTTTACAAAAGGGGTCATATGATGTTGCTAAAAAGAACATTATTTTGTGTATTTGGTGTAATGAAATGTGTTTATGCGGTTTAAAGAAAAAAACCCACATTATTTTCCACATACTGTACATTATTGTTTCTCCTCTATGCTCCGCCTTTCTGAAACGTGTCGATTTTTACAAAGATCATCGTTCTGAAAAGCGAGGTGTGCTCTGATTGGCCAGCTATCCAGTGCGTTGTGATTGGCTGTCTCATGACAGGGGCGTAGATTACGCGGGGGACGTAATCTACGCCCCTGTCATGAGCCATCAGTAAATAGGCTCAGTTATACTTTTTATTTGAATCATCATCAGGCATGTTTATCAAGTTAAGCAGAAATATTAACCTAATATATAAAATTCCATGCAATGCAAATATCATGGGTTTTCATAAGCATCACTGTCTTAGCTCATATAAATACAAGTTTTTAACAAACTGGTTTGTATAGTTATTTTTTTACATAATTTCTCCATCTCATAACAACATTGTAATGCTATCAGAAATAATTCAAAATTGCGTTCAATTTCTGGCCATTTCAACTTGTGAAGAAATAATCTGCTGATTGTTCTGGTTCATTTTTACAGAAAGAGCATTCATTGTTCATTTCAGTGTTAAATATTTCAAAAATATGCTTTTACAGGGTGTATTCTTTGAACTTTTGAAAGTGACCTCTTTAATTTTCAGGTATCAAGACAGATAGAGAAGCCCACTGGCTGCAGCCTGCAGGCATTATGACCAATTATGAAAGTCAAGATTGTGCATCAAACCATACTTGCAGAATATCATTTTTCTTATTGTATTTTCTTTTTATTCCACTACATAAAAAAATAAAACAGTTTGAACTGGAACGTTTATGTATTCTTATCTCCCCACAAATGCACCACAGCAATGTTCCTTTTTGCTGTGGCTCTGGCTATGTTGTTAATCTCTTTTCTTCCTCTGTGTCAAACACAGTTTCATCATGGTCATCGTGGTGTCTGCAGATTAAATAATAAATGGTCACGATTGTAGGTTCAGTGTTGAGCGATGATCAGCTGTCAGTACTTTTTTCACGGTAAAGCAATTCTGTGTAAAGTCGACTGTGAGGTTCATAAAAGCAGGACAGGAAGATGCTGTTCACCTACAAACCAAACACACATCAAACAAATGGGCACTTTCCTGCAAAAGCTGTCCACTAAGCAGATCACACATGTGAAGAAAACTAACCACAGCAGGTTTCAGTTTGACTCTGTTGAGCTGCTGGAGTCACACTGAGAGATAGCAAATGGTTTTAACATTAGTTTTTTTGTTCATTTTGCCATACAAAACAACTGAGAGTTGATTACACCAATTTTAAATTCAGAAATCTCTATTTTACAATAAAAATTTAGGAAGATTTCACAATATTTCACTCTTATACTTTACATAGTTAACATAGCTAGTAGTTCCTTTCAAACATGATCAATTTTAAATGATAAAAATAATGTTTTCACCCATTAAGAACAGTTAAAGGTCCAATAAGAACTAGAAGAACATTAATAACTACCCTCAGTGTGTGTGTGTGTGTGTGTGTGTGTGTGTGTGTGTGTGTGTGTGTGTGTGTTTGTGTTTGTGTTTGTGTTTGTGTTTGTGTTTGTGTTTGTGTTTGTGTGTGTTTGTGTTTGTGTTTGGCAATAGCACATACAGTTTGTACAGTATAAAAACCATTACGCCTATGGAATGTCCCCATAAACCATGGAAACACAATGTGTGTGTGTGTGTGTGTGTGTGTGAAGTAGGAGGATCAAAAATTGTGGGAGGATTCACACTCCAGTTTAATAGTACTGCTGTGTTTGGTTACATCAGTTTGATTGTTTTTAACAGATAGTGTAATTAGCTCAGACTTTTCACTGAACTGGTCAAGAAAATGTCTCACATGTTAGTTTTGTTCTGTTTGTATTGGTCTCATCTGATTGGTAAGTTTTGAATGTATTTTTATGGCTTATTGTCATAATGTCACATATCAGGTCTGTGTTTACAAACTTTGTTTAGGTGCAAAGGATCCCACAGTCATGGAATGTAATGAAAATCAGTGAATTTATTGGGGGGAATGTCTTTATTTTAGAGGTTGTTACATTGGAGAAACATTTATTTAGCAGACATTACATGAGATAAAAATGGAAATAAAAATAAAAAATACAGAAAATGTAGGAATTCATAAACTACTATGGAAGTCAAGGAAATCTTTTTTTAAAGGATGTTGTTCTGTTTACATTTAAACATTACAATTTACAACTGACTTTAGGCTTTGTAAACCAACGAGAGTCTTAATTTCTGACAAAACCTGCTCATGTTCCCCAGGTGTGTTTGGTGCTAGGACAAGTGAAATTCAGTCATTTTCAAAAATGGGGGGAGATACTGTCACTCTAAACACTGATGTTACTGAAATACACGAAGACGACGACATACTATGGAATTTTGGAGCCGAAAAGATTGCTGAAATCAATAGAGCTACTGGAATCTTCATCATATATGATGCTGTTCTTGATGGGAGATTCAGAGACAGACTGAAACTGAACAAACAGACTGGATCTCTGACCATCACAAACATCACAACTCAACATACTGGACCCTATGAACTAGAGATAAGAGGAGCAAAACTGTCATTAAAAACATTCAGTGTTTCTGTTTATGGTGAATAAGAGGTTATTTATAGCATAGGCTACTTTATATGTAGAATGTTTAAAAAGCTGACAAACGTAATTGTTATTATCCATGTTTCTCTCTTGTTTTCAGCTCGTCTGCCTGTTCCTGTCATCAGCAGTAACTCTTCAAACTGCTCTTCATCATCATATTGTTCATTGGTGTGTTCAGTGGTGAATGTGGGTCATGTGACTCTCTCCTGGTACAAAGGAAACAGTTTATTGTCCAGCATCAGTGTGTCTGATCTCAGCATCAGTCTCTCTCTACCTCTGGAGGTGGAATATCAGGAGAAAAACAGCTACAGCTGTGTGCTCAACAATCCCATCAGCAACCAGACTCAACATCTGGACATCAGCAAACTCTGTCACACATGTTCAGGTACAGCAGCTGATATTAGTTGGTTGTTTTAGTCCATAGAGAACTAGGAAAAGTCCCCCACACTTTTCTGTATAGCAGAAGTGGGATTTTGCTAAATTGTCATAATGAGACTAAAGTCAGTTTGTTGAACATCACAATTCCGTTTCATTATTGGTTATTTGCTCTCTCTCTCTCTCTCTCTCTCTCTCTCTCTCAGAAGGCCATGGTCATTGCTGTAATACTTCTGAAGCTGTGATCCGATTGGTCCTCTCTGCTTTGGTAGGCGTGGCTACTGTGGTTTTTCTGGTTTATGATGTCAGATCTACAAGTGGAGGAGAACAAAGAACGGATATCATAAACAAATGTGAGATCTTGGAGCGTTCCCTAACGAAAAAGAAGTTTGTTCAAGTGTGCTATTAGTATACTTCTTTT